TTCAAGTTTATTTGTAAAACGCACTGGATAGCTAGGCAATCAGAGCACACCTCGCTTTTCAGACCGATGAACTTTGAACTTTGTAAAAATCAACGCGTTTCAGAAAGGCGGCGCATAGAGGAGAAACAATAATGTACATTATGTGGAAAATAATGTTTGAACCTTAAAAGGTTTGAACCTTAAACCGCATAAACACATTTCATTACACCAAATACACAAAATAATGTTATTTGTAGCAACATCATATGACCCCTTCAAATGAACTATGATTTTTAAGCTTCTGGGGCCTGAAATGGAGGGATTTTTGTTGATAATTCAATTGAAATACAATTAAAATTTTGTTGGTACATAGGCAATATATTAGTGTTCTAAGAATCTTTTAGTAATTTTGCATTAACACTCAATCGAGTTCCATATGCAAATTACCATGCCGTAAAACTCTCCAGTATTTCCAACCTCCCGCTTGGAATTTCAGCCTTTCTCATTGGACAAGCCCATCCTGAGAGGCGTGAATCTTCTCAGACCTTAAAGGCCTCACATCAGTGACCCGCCTTCAGTCTGTGGTTCAGTTAGATTCTGAGAAGATGAGGATGTGAGCTAGAACGCTTCTAAGGACAACCTAAGTTTGTGCCAGGCCTTGTGCCTAGTCTTTCCACTCATCAAGATCCTCTGACTCAAAATGGTTAGTTCTCATCACCTAACTTCAGCCAACTTACTGGAGCCCCAAAGAGCATCAGGACTCTCTTTCAAACAGGCGAGACGTGCAAGTATCAAACTTAGTCTTATTAATTGATACATTAAGTATCATTTGCACCTTTTACAAAGGTGTGTTTGAACTAAGAAACTGAAGTTTCCTTCAGGCTGTAGATCTGCTGAATACCAAATGGTACTATAGCTTCAAGTTTTTATTTCTCTTCTATTTACTGCTGAAGTTTTAACCCTTTTTCCTATGCCAACTGTATGCGTGTGTGTTTGTATGTGTATGTTAGACTAGTTTAAGTGTTTATGTAGTTGCCAGGCCTTGTGCCTAGTCTTTCCACTCATCAAGATCCTCTGACTCAAAATGGTTAGTTCTCATCACCTAACTTCAGCCAACTTACTGGAGCCCCAAAGAGCATCAGGACTCTCTTTCAAACAGGCGAGACGTGCAAGTATCAAACTTAGTCTTATTAATTGATACATTAAGTATCATTTGCACCTTTTACAAAGGTGTGTTTGAACTAAGAAACTGAAGTTTCCTTCAGGCTGTAGATCTGCTGAATACCAAATGGTACTATAGCTTCAAGTTTTTATTTCTCTTCTATTTACTGCTGAAGTTTTAACCCTTTTTCCTATGCCAACTGTATGCGTGTGTGTTTGTATGTGTATGTTAGACTAGTTTAAGTGTTTATGTAGTTAATAAAGTCTTACTTGTATCACACTTGAGGTTGTTCATTGTTTGGTCATAACTGGAGTCCCTAATCATGCAGATTTTTGCTACATCCTCGGAGTAGTATTGTACAGTAAGAAAGTTATTTTCCTTAACCAGAAAATTAACATTCTTAGAATTGACAGACAGTTGACACTGAGAGGTCAAGTAAATACTTACAGCAGATCTAAATATTTATAATTGGTAATTTGCATATGGAATAGCTCAAAGGGTTCATATTTCCCCTTTGAGCTGATTCGCTACAAAGGGGATGATAAGAGTATAGTAAAGTATAGTCAAGTTATGTTTATCACAGATTCCCCTTCAGGAACTCGAGCTGCGTCGGAAACGCTATTGGAACGCCCCCAGCGTGACCATACTCTGAATCACATGTGTAATCAGTCCAATGGAAGGGCGAGATGTCATAGGCGGGTGACGTAGAGAACAGGAAGTTATAAAAGTGAGGTGGAAACGGCATCAGGTTTCTGTCATTCAACGAAGCGATCTGTGTTCTGTCAGTCACATTTTATGTTCTGTGAGTCTTATTTACTGTTGTTTGTCAAGTTGCACGATCAGTACATATATGCTCAGTATGGCAAAAAAGGCTGAGGGTAAAATAAAGCATCTGGGCGAAAGCAGATCATGTTATAAGCTGTGTGTTCCTCTATGTCCACGCTACATCACGGGCGGGGATTCACACATTCTGAGTGTGGTCTACTTGGGAGCGAAGCACGCTGAGTCGGCTCTCGTGGGGTTTGCAGATGGATCTGGTGGAGGGAATGGAGACGGGCGAGTCCCTATCTTCTTCCTCACCCACCAGATCCGCCCGTTCTCTGGGATCGGAAGCCCTTTTTTAACAACAATTTCTTGTGTTCCACCTCCATTGGGTCTTCTAACTTGTTTGTAGCTGCTATCTTGAAAGTTCATCCAGCCAAGTTCAATTTTCCTTGTCTTGCTTGCAGCATTCTTTTCAATTCAATTCAAGTTTATTTGTAAAACGCACTGGATAGCTAGGCAATCAGAGCACACCTCGCTTTTCAGACCGATGAACTTTGAACTTTGTAAAAATCAACGCGTTTCAGAAAGGCGGCGCATAGAGGAGAAACAATAATGTACATTATGTGGAAAATAATGTTTGAACCTTAAAAGGTTTGAACCTTAAACCGCATAAACACATTTCATTACACCAAATACACAAAATAATGTTATTTGTAGCAACATCATATGACCCCTTCAAATGAACTATGATTTTTAAGCTTCTGGGGCCTGAAATGGAGGGATTTTTGTTGATAATTCAATTGAAATACAATTAAAATTTTGTTGGTACATAGGCAATATATTAGTGTTCTAAGAATCTTTTAGTAATTTTGCATTAACACTCAATCGAGTTCCATATGCAAATTACCATGCCGTAAAACTCTCCAGTATTTCCAACCTCCCGCTTGGAATTTCAGCCTTTCTCATTGGACAAGCCCATCCTGAGAGGCGTGAATCTTCTCAGACCTTAAAGGCCTCACATCAGTGACCCGCCTTCAGTCTGTGGTTCAGTTAGATTCTGAGAAGATGAGGATGTGAGCTAGAACGCTTCTAAGGACAACCTAAGTTTGTGCCAGGCCTTGTGCCTAGTCTTTCCACTCATCAAGATCCTCTGACTCAAAATGGTTAGTTCTCATCACCTAACTTCAGCCAACTTACTGGAGCCCCAAAGAGCATCAGGACTCTCTTTCAAACAGGCGAGACGTGCAAGTATCAAACTTAGTCTTATTAATTGATACATTAAGTATCATTTGCACCTTTTACAAAGGTGTGTTTGAACTAAGAAACTGAAGTTTCCTTCAGGCTGTAGATCTGCTGAATACCAAATGGTACTATAGCTTCAAGTTTTTATTTCTCTTCTATTTACTGCTGAAGTTTTAACCCTTTTTCCTATGCCAACTGTATGCGTGTGTGTTTGTATGTGTATGTTAGACTAGTTTAAGTGTTTATGTAGTTAATAAAGTCTTACTTGTATCACACTTGAGGTTGTTCATTGTTTGGTCATAACTGGAGTCCCTAATCATGCAGATTTTTGCTACATCCTCGGAGTAGTATTGTACAGTAAGAAAGTTATTTTCCTTAACCAGAAAATTAACATTCTTAGAATTGACAGACAGTTGACACTGAGAGGTCAAGTAAATACTTACAGCAGATCTAAATATTTATAATTGGTAATTTGCATATGGAATAGCTCAAAGGGTTCATATTTCCCCTTTGAGCTGATTCGCTACAAAGGGGATGATAAGAGTATAGTAAAGTATAGTCAAGTTATGTTTATCACAGATTCCCCTTCAGGAACTCGAGCTGCGTCGGAAACGCTATTGGAACGCCCCCAGCGTGACCATACTCTGAATCACATGTGTAATCAGTCCAATGGAAGGGCGAGATGTCATAGGCGGGTGACGTAGAGACCAGGAAGTTATAAAAGCACGTGAGGTGGAAACGGCATCAGGTTTCTGTCATTCAACGAAGCGATCTGTGTTCTGTCAGTCACATTTTATGTTCTGTGAGTCTTATTTACTGTTGTTTGTCAAGTTGCACGATCAGTACATATATGCTCAGTATGGCAAAAAAGGCTGAGGGTAAAATAAAGCATCTGGGCGAAAGCAGATCATGTTATAAGCTGTGTGTTCCTCTATGTCCACGCTACATCACGGGCGGGGATTCACACATTCTGAGTGTGGTCTACTTGGGAGCGAAGCACGCTGAGTCGGCTCTCGTGGGGTTTGCAGATGGATCTGGTGGAGGGAATGGAGACGGGCGAGTCCCTATCTTCTTCCTCACCCACCAGATCCGCCCGTTCTCTGGGATCGGAAGCCCGTTCTGCGGTTTCTTCCCCCCGGGGAGCGGGCTCGGCACTCCACCTATCTTCCTCCGAGGAGGTTGATGTGGAGAGCATCGAGGATTCGCCCCCTCAGTCACCCCAGTATGAGGAGTTGTTGGATGTGGTTACTCGTCCGGTAGCTAAATTAAACATTGATTGGTCCGCCGAGAAACAGGCTGAACCGCAAAAGAGTAAACTAGATGAGCGGTTTCTGTGAACTAAGCCGCCACCTCCACTCCGGAGCCTGCCTTTTTTCCCCTGACCTTCACACGGGTGTCGAGGTCATGGGCGAAACCATTCTCGGCCTGCTTATTCATCCCGCCTCTGATTATTACGACAATCTGGCAGGGCTGGGTGAACGCGGTTATAGATCGATTCCCCCGGGTAGAACAGATGCTCGCGAGCTATCTGTCTCCCGACGCGGCATCATCTTTAAAGGCTCCGGTCTTGCCCTCCAAGCCGCTGCGAACCACTTCAGCGCTGGTGGGCAAGGGGTACACAGCAGCAGGTCAGGCTGGTGCGTGTTTGCACCCAATGGCTGTGTAGCAGGCATACCAAGCCGATCTACTAAAAGAACTAGATGAAGGCGAGGAAATAAAAGCAGATGATATTTCAGAACTGAGAACCGCTGATTTATCTCTCCGCACCACCAAGGAGACCGCCCGTGCCATTGGGCGGACCATAGCAGCTCTGGTGGCAGCGGTGAGACATTTATGGTTGACCCTGTCTGATATGAAGAAGAAAGACGGGGTCTTCCTCATGGACGCCCCACTTATGCCTTCTGGTCTGTTCGGCGGCGCCATCAATTCCGTCATCGACAGATACCAGGAGATTCGTAAACAGGCGGCGGCGTTCCAGTGGTTTCTTCCTCGCTGTTCTCTAGCTCTGGGGGCTGCTGGGCGGGAGCAGCCCTGGCCATGCACCAGCTCCTCATACAGGGAGGTTCAAAAGTTGAGCCCTCCAAGTCGGGGGCTTCCAAAGCGAGGCCCGATCTGAGGGTCGTGCTTCAGTCGAGGAAGCCCTCAACAAAGCGGTTCTGACAATCATGCTCAGGACCGCTGAGGGCAGCCCCTACTGGGGAAGAGCGGGGTGTACCGCATTACACGGTGTCCGTCTCTCTTCAGAGCCCTCAGGAGATCAGTCTGCTAACCCTGCCAGAGTTCCAGGGCGCAGCAGTCTCCAGTGAGCACACATCTCAGTGTCTTCCGCCCGGAAACGTAGCAGAGCTGAGATGCTTGCCACCCCTTCGGGGGTCTCTAGAGCAGTTAGTTCCACATTGGTGGGTTCCGAGCAGGCTCTGATATTAGAACAGAAAGTAAACACTCTCTTGAGGAAGGAGGCCATCGAGGTGGTCCCTCCTCATGACAGAGAGTCCGGGAGAGTTCAGAGAGTTCTACAGCAGGTACTTCATCTTTCCAAAGAAGGATGGAGGGTTGCGTCCATTTTAGATCTGTGTCAGTTAAACCGATCAGTAATGCGACTAAAGTTCAAGATGCTCACTGTCAAGCAGGTCGTGTCTCAGATCAGGTCCGAGGACTGGTTTGTCACGATAGATCTAAAAGATTCTTATTTCCATGTCTCCATCCTTCCCACTCACAGGAAGTTCCTGAGGTAAGCTTTCATGGGCGAAGCTTACCAATATCGAGTTCTTCCTTTCGGCCTAGCACTCTCACCCCGCACTTTCACGAAGTGTGTGGATGCTGCTCTAGTTCCACTGCGACTCCAGGGCAAAGGCATACTAAATTATATCGACGATTGGTTGATTTTGGCTCAATCAGAGCAGATGGTGGTTCGACATCGAGATGACGTTCTCGCCCATATGAAAAGGTTGGGGTTGAGACTAAACACCAAGAAAAGTGTGTTTTCTCCATTACAGAGGACCACTGATCTGGGAGTGATGTGGGATTCGACCCCGATGCAGGCACGATTGTCCCCTGCTCGGATCGAGTCGATCCTCACTGCAGTCGCGAGAGTCAGAGAAGGCCAGTCACTCACTGTCAAGCAGTTTCAGAAACTATTGGGTTTGATGGCAGCTGCGTCCAACGTGATACCTTTTGGCCTGCTGTACATGAGACTCCTACAGTGGTGGCTCAAGACCAAAGGGTTCTCCCCGAGGGGAAACCCGCTTCGCATGATCAAGGTCACGCGGCGATGCCTATGTGCCTTGGACATGTGGAGGAAACCTTGGTTCGTGTCTCATGGCGCAGTGCTCGGAGCTCCGTAACGCTAGCGACAAATGCGTCCCTCACTGGCTGGGGTGCGATCATGAGTGGGCACCCTGCCGTGGTCTGTGGAGCGATCGCCATCTAACCTGGCACATCAACTGCCTGGAGATGCTGGCCGTATTTCGAGCTTTGAAGCACTTCCTCCCGGACCTAAGAGATCGCCATGTGCTGGTGCGCACTGACAACACAGCGGTGGTCTCTTATATCAACCACCAGGGAGGTCTGCGTTTGCGCCCTTTGTACAAGCTGGCGCACCAGATCCTTGTGTGGTCCCAGGGCAAAATCCTTTCATTGAGAGCAGTACATATTCCTTGGCATCTGAATTTGGGAGCAGACATCCTGTCGAGGCAGGGGCCGAGGCCCGGGGAATGGAGACTTCACCCCGAGGTGGTGAAGCAGACAAGGAGAAGTTTTGGCCAGGCTCAGGTGGACCTGTTTGCGACTCGAGAGACATCGCATTGTCCCCTCTGGTCCTCTCTGACTCATCCAGCTCCACTGGGGCTGGATGCCATGGTACAGACGTGGCCGAGGCTTCGTCTGTACACCTTTCCCCCGATCGCTCTGCTCCGGGGAGTTCTGAAGGGAGTGCGCCAGGACGGGGTCCGTCTGCTGCTAGTAGTTAGTAGCGGCCGGGCTGAGTATGATTCTCGGACCTGATTTCCCTTCTCGGCGGCTCTCCATGGGAGATTCCCATCAGGAGGGATCTCCTCTCACAGGCGAAGGGTACGATTCTCCACCCCCACCCGGAGCTGTGGAAGTTACGGGTGTGGCCTCTGAGGGGGCACAACTTGTAGCTTCCGGTCTCTCAACCGAGGTTGTTGAGACATCCTCCAATCCAGAGCTCCCTCTACGAGGAAACTGTATGCTTGAAGTGGAAACTTTTCACTTCTTGGTGCGGAGATCGCCAGCTGGACCCAGTTAATTGCCCGGTTGGTACAGTACTGGAGTTCCTGCAGGCCCGTCTCTCTGCAGGTTGACCCACTCCAGCCAGTCAGTGGGCAGACACCCCCTAGTTACACGTTTCCTCCGCGGTGCGCTGAGGCTGAGGCCCCCATTACGATCTCACGTCCCCACATGGGACCTGGTTGTGGTGCTAGAAGCTCTTTGTAAGTCTCCATTCGAGCCTATTGAAGAAATTTCTGATCGCTATCTGACAATTAAGCCTGCCCTTCTTCTGGCTATTACCTCTCTAAAAAGAGTTGGGGATCTTCAGGCCCTCTCAGTGGCCCCTTCTTATCTGGACTTTGCGCCCGACATGGCCAAAGTGTTTCTCTACCCTCTGTTACACCACAGCCTATCGTGCTACAGGCCTTTTGTCCTCCTCCCTTCAGGGAGCCTGACCAACAGAAGCTTAACTGCACAGAGCTACATCCACAGAGCTGCCCTGTGGAGAAGGCGGACCAACTGTTTGTATGCTATGGTCCCCATAATAGGGGTCTCCCTACTATGAAGCAGACCCTCAGTCGGTGGATAGTTGATGCCAGTACTATTGCCTACGAGTCCTCTGATCTCCCCTCTCCTTTGGGGATCAAGGTTCATTCGACCCGAGGTATGGCTGCCTCCAAGGCCTTCTTAGCAGGTGTGTCTATGCAAGACATCTGCAATGCAGCGGGATGGTCCACGCCCCTCATATTTGTCAGATTCTATGACTTCTATGACCACTCCTGGCTCTTCTGTTCTCTCGTCTTAGCTGTGCTCTTTCACACTAGACAGGGATTTGCAAGTCTGGCAATGTGGGTATTCTCGTTCCCAAAGCGTTCCCGACGCAGCTCGAGTTCCTGAAGGGGAACGTCTCCAGGTTACGTATGTAACCGTGGTTCCCCGAAGGGAACGAGACGCTGCGTCTCAGGGCCATACTTCCAGTGCTTTCTTCATTCCTTGAAGCTGACGCCGGTTCCACCTCATGCGCTTTTGTAGCTTCCTGGTCGCTACGTCACCCGCCTATGACGTCTCGCCCTTCCATTGGACTGATTACACATGTGATTCACAGTGTGGTCACGCTGGGGCATTCCCCATAGCGTTTCTGACACAGCGTCTCGTTCCCTTCGGGGAACCATGGTTACAGTGGGGAAAAAAAGTATTTAGTCAGCCACCAATTGTGCAAGTTCTCCCACTTAAAAAGATGAGAGAGGCCTGTCATTTTCATCATAGGTATACCTCAACTATGAGAGACAAAATGAGAAAAAAAATCCAGAAAATCACATTGTAGGATTTTTAAAGAATTTATTTGCAAATTATGGTGGAAAATAAGTATTTGGTCAATAACAAAATTTCATCTCAATACTTTGTTATATACCCTTTGGTGGCAATGACAGAGGTCAAACGTTTGCTGTAAGTCTTCACAAGGTTTTCACACACAGTTGCTGGTATTTTGGCCCATTCCTCCATCCAGATCTCCTCTAGAGCAGTAATGTTTTGGGGCTATCGCTGGGCAACA